AAAACATGCTGCCAAGTGATTATTTGGATCTCAGTAACAAATATATAATATTCTGAAAAAGTCTTAAAAAAAATTCTCAAAAATAATAGAAAATTTATTTTTATGAAATTAAAAAATTGATCCAGTGTGACTTAATGTACAAAGACTTTTATTAAAAGTATCTGCTTCAGTGTGTTTTTACCCCATTTCTTTGGCTAACTTTTAAATGAGTTTTCAGCTCTTTATTTGGCTAAATGAAAAATGAAAAACTTGTCAGCGCTTCTTGGCTAGCAATTGTATCGTCATTGGTCTTTTACAAGGCAGCCTTGGCCATACACATACTTTGGCTTTTGTTTCTGGAACTTTCTTCACACGTTTGTGGCTAATGTTTAGATTTTCCTGCATCTGTTCATTTCTAGGTTTCGCAGTATTGCCAGGTCATATTTCCGTAAAGCTCACGGCGTCCTGCTGCTGTATGACGTTACCTCAGAGAGCAGCTTCCTCAACGTCAGAGAGTGGGTGGATCAGATCCAGGTAAAATCCTGAAAAACAAACCAACACATGATTAGGATTTCACCAGGAAACACAAACTTTATCAACATCCTGTTGTCTCCGGGCAGGATTCCACAGAGGAGACGATTCCCATGTGTGTTATTGGGAATAAAGTGGACCTGAGAGACGAGTGCCGCGAGGACAGGTGTGTCAGCACCGCAGAAGGAGAGAAGCTAGCCAAAGTGAGACTCTTTCAGAAAAAAAATATCATAACAATTCCACTTCCACCCTTCCTTCCCCGCTGTCAAAATAACCTGACCGCACACTCACTCCCCCTACAGGCGTACGGAGCTTTGTTCTGTGAAACCAGCGCCAAGAACGGAACCAATGTGGTGGAAGCTGTTCTTCATCTGGCCAGGTAGAACCTCACATGTGGAGTAACCTACAATTAAAGTTGTTGTTTTTTTTTAATCCTCCATCCTCAATAAAGTTTTTTTTTCTTTTTCTTTTCTTCAGAGAAGTAAAGAAAAACATCAAACAAGGACAACGATTGGAATCTGACGTCAAACTGAGTCCGTCCAATCCCAAGAAGACGTTCAACAACTGCTGTGGCCGGTAGAGACATCTAGATTTTTATGTTATGTATATAGACAAATACTAGGGATGTCCGATAATATAGGCTGACCGATATTAGCATAATTATATAATATCTGTAAGAATTATCGGTTTTCCCGATAATTTTTTTAATGAAAACTAACACAATGTCTGGGTTTCACCAAATGACGTGTGCCCTAATTTTAATTTGGGGGATAAACAGCAGTATATGAAAGTGAAAGCCACTAGATGGCAGCAATGCAGCTCATTTAAATAATCTCATACAGTGGTCTGTACGGATAAGTATAAGTAAATATAACCAGACCGATATTTGTATTGGTTGATATCGGAATTGGAAATTTAGTTTTTGGACAATATCGCATTTTGGTCAAAAAGTTAATATCGGACATCCCTAACAAATCCCTATAGACACAGGTGTACAGACAAATAGTTTTATTTTAATCGTACGTTTTGTTGCCTTAGATTTTCTAAAACGTTTGACGCCACAGTTCAAATTAACTTAAACAAACGTGTGTTTTACAGTCAGTCGTTACAAACTGGAGTTTTAGAAAAGTCTGTCTCACCTTCTCGGTCTCTCTCGCTGCAGTCGTTCTCTCTTCATGGGGCAGTGGTGGCTCGGTGGTTAAGGGAGCGGACTTGGGTTCGAGTCCACTCGCTGCCAAGTTACCACTGAGGTGCTGCCCCCTGCTGATGGGTTAAAAGTCTCCACTTTAAACCAACTGACTTTTCTGTAGGTTAAGTTTTTTTGCGTTATAGAGGTTCAAAGAAAAACGAAAGAGACCAAATATTTTTTTTTAGATAGATTGTAATTTAAAGATCATTTAAAGTCACATCACAGGGCAGCTTTACAATAGTAGCAGGTCGTAAATGTAACGCGTTTTTAATTAATGTTAAATGTGGGAATAAACATCTGTGCTTTTTTTTTTAGAGGTCAAGTTCAGCTCTCTTTCAGTCTCTGAGTTAAGACTGAAAGAGAGCGAGCTGAGGTCCAGTCTCAGAGAATGACTGTACAGGTAAAAGTCAAAGACAGGGTTCACGCGGACTCACGTGTCCGGTTCAAGTCAGTTGTACAGGATTAAATGTCAGATTTTTTCAGTTTTTAAAAATCTTTGTACAAGTCCCGGTCTCAGAGGGACTTCCTGTCCAGATCAGTGTTCTGTAATTGGTTCCCAGTGTTCTGAGTTTTCAGACGGTCCAAGTCCGAGGCGGAGTGTTTTGCGTGTCCATGGTCCAAGTTTGGACTTGAGTCCTGTGACCTGCAGCTGCAGAGAACTTCCTGGTTCAGAACAGAACTCCAGTCCATGACGTTCCAGCATGTCCACAAAAGACAAAAGTCATTGTCTTATACTTAAAAACACGGACGTCGCCAAACTTCCCAGCGCCACCACCAGGGCTCCAAGGACAAACTTCCAGGAAGTTCCCTACAGGAAAAAACAAAGTCAAAACCTGCTGCGTTCCTTCTCAGGAGACAGTACTGCAGTACTGAGACTACATGTGGTGTTTGTACTCACCGTTGGGTTCTTCTGAGGAGGAACCAGGGACGATGACGTGTTCTCCTTCAGCAGCTCTGCACTTCTGGGTTTGGGCGTGTCTGAATCCTGACTTCCTGTTTGTCTCCTCACCAGTTTGGATAACTCCAGGTGGATGACCTGACGGGAAACAGGGTTTTCAAACACAGTTAACTGTTAGTTTTATGCCTGGTCTGTATTAAAATAAAATTTCTGTTAATTTTTACTTTATTTAATTATATACAACTGGATTTTTTTTTTAATGTTAAAAGTTATCCTTCCAAAACCATTACCAAAATGTCCAGCAGGTGTCAGTAGAAGTGTGAACGACGAATATGAACCTGCAGCTGTTTAACTTCACTCATAAATTTGACTTCATTTTTATGAATCAATGGACCGTTTTTTCTACTACTGTTGCACTTTATTCTCATTATTTTATAACTTCTGAATATTACAGTTTTTTTGTAGTATCACCAGATTTTTCCTCATCATATATTTATGGAAATTATCAACTTTTTCGCAATACTGTCAAATATTTTGAATGACATGATGTAATAGAAATAAAAAATTCCATGCATTTTTCTCTCCTGTTTTACTCATTAATTAATACTTAATTAACATGACTTCCTGTTTAAACCTGTACACATTTTAATTACAAATTTTATTTTATTTTCCACTTCATAAAGTGGAACTTAACTTGAATTATTTCTTTATTTATAAATTTAGTAATAAAGTTCTTTTCATAAACTTATGCCTCATAAAAGTTTAATTTATTTTGTTAAATTTATTTATTTTTCTAATTTTACTGATTTTTTTTTTGTAGTACTTTCCTGATCCTGATAAGTCGTACTCTAATAACAGTGTTTACAGCTTTTGAGGCTATAAGTAAAACTAAAGTACAAAGTCAAACGGGTCAAAGGTCACAGACGACCCCTTACCTTGGTGCTGGGCTCCAGCTTCAAGGCCTTCCTCAGCATCTCCATGGCTTCTTTATATTCACCCTGGTCCGACAGGAGCTGGACACAAGTGAAAACATGTGAAAACATGTCGATACACTATGAGCTGACCCCTGTTGACCCTTGGCCCGGCCCCGCCCCCTCACCTTTCCGGCCCTGTAGAGAGCTTTGACGTTGTGTGGACTCAGGGTCAGGACGTCCAGACTGGCCTGCAGGGCCTGGTCCAGCTGCTCCAGTTTGATGTGAGCTGCTGCCAGGTTGTTCAAACACTTCACCCTGGACTCCTGGACCTCCATCAGCTCCACTTTCTCCTCCTCCTCCTGCTGGACCTCCGCATTCTCCTCCACACCACCGCCCCCACCTGGAAGGAAGCAGAACGTGGCAGACGATTATTTTTCTCAGAGGTGGTGCTGTTAGCTAACCTGGCTAACTTTTTAGCTATTTCTAGACTCGCCTTTATCTTTCCTCACACACAACTTAACATTTTTTCACTTCTTTTAGAATTATTTTAGATGTAGCTATTGCTAGTCTTTTTTGGCCATGTTTGTGACAAGTTTATACTTTTACAAAACAGATATAAAAAAAACATTAGCTTACATATCTTTTTGTCTGACTATTATTAGTAAATTTGAAAATATTTTGTGTTAAATTAAAGTTACTTGCCTATGTTAGTGTCTTTATTTGAAAATATTAAAATAAAGACAAAACTAATGTTACAAAATTTTATATTTTGTATAATATATATAAATATATATAATGGTTAATAAACCATTATTTTGTAATAACATTGATTTTTTATTTTAATTTTATTTGTTTTACCTAAAAACAATGATCTTTTAAAGACTATCCATCAAAAACAGCATTTGTTTTACATCTATTTTTTTTATATTCAACCATTAAATGTGTTGTTTGTCGCACAGACAGCTCAGAGAAACACGTTTGTGATTCACGAAATGTCACATTTAGCTGATAAGCGGTTGACATTCAGCAGGGTAAATATCAGATGACAGTGATGTTGATGCAAAACTGGGCAAAAGAACAATCTTATTTATTAATATGAAATATTTACATAGTAAATAAAAGCGATTTTGGGACATTAGGCGTAAATATTTAACACTATTTTAAAGATTGTGCTAGCATGTAGAGAGTTGCTAAGTGCTAGTGGCATGTAATATGTTAGCAGCATTTTGGGGACACATTAGCACATGATGTAATAACATAATGCTAATTAGGGGTGGGGAGTGGCTAGTTAGTAGTGTGCTAGCACATACAGCATAGTTAGCAGCACAGATGAACACAGCTATTCCGCAGGATTACGCTTGTTAGCAGTGGCTGAGTACGTAGCTTATTGTGCAGCGCTAGCAGGTGGGGCGTGCTATCATTGAATAGCATTATCGTGCATGTAGAGTAATATTTAGCGACGTATAAACACGGTTTGTTTTTTAGCTAATTATTAGCATTTCACACAAGAGACAAATGTCTTTTTTTTATCTCCATTATTACCGTTACTTTTACATCTCATGTGAACATAATTAGCATGTTTTCATTCTTCATCCAGATGATCTTTGATTTAATTCTCTAATGATATGATCTCCCTGGCCTGATCACCTCCTCTCTGCTCATGACCTCCACCTCCTGCTCCTGCCTCCTCCTCCTCACTGATCACAGAAGGTTGTACTAATATGAAGGCTGATGAGCTTTAATGAAGCTAAAGAATGAGTGGAAACACTGAGTCCCGGCTCTGCATGGTGACGGACTCATTAGTCTGAGCTCACACCGCTGCTGCGCTGCTGCTGGGAACGAGCCTTGAATTTAATGTCGCGTTTAATTTCTCTGTCTGTCTCACCATGAAACGTAGTTTTATCCTGAAAATCTGTGAAAAATTCATATTTGTTATCAATGGGCTAACTTTTAGCTACCTGCTTCATCCTACCTGGTTTGCCAATTATTATCTCCTTTTAGCCTCTTTTGTTTTACCTTAAGGCTAATACAGCTCCTGGCTAAGGCTAGCTACTTTTTAGCTATTTTTTTGGGCCGGTCGTTGGTAGTTTAACTACTTATTAATTATTAAATAATATTTTTTATGGATTTCTAAGCTAACCTTTAGACGTCGTCATGTCATATTGGTCATCATTCGGTTTTGTTTAGGTCAATTTTTGATAAGACGTTAAAACAACAAAAAAGACATGAATCCAAACAGTACCTGGAACCGCTGTGGTCAGAACCTCCAGAGCTTGACCGTAGGCCCTGGCCGCGCTGACGTAATCCTCCCTCTGGAAGTGGAAGTTTCCTCGCTCACGCTTTCGGCTGCCCAGACGGATGCGGTCGGCGACGGACAGAGTCGACCGGTCGGGTTTGTCTCTGACGTCCAGCAGCTGCAGCTGGTACAGAAGAGGAGACCAGGCTGGGACGTCAGGCTCTCTGCAGAGACACAGAAGAAGAAGAAGAAGAATTCTTGATTTAATTTAATAATTTAATTTAATTTGTTTTAACACATTGTTAACCTTTAGCTAATAAATTGCTTCCTTTGGGTTTTTTTTTAATCTCGTTTCACTGATGTTGGTTAAATCTTTGGCTTCTAAAAATATTTTTGGGTGCTTTTAAAATTGAGTTTTTACTGTTTTTGTAGTAACTTTTTTATTTTTATTTCCTTCACCCCTTGGTTAATTGACGTCATTGTCATCATTTCTGCTTCAAAGACGAATGTTGTCTGATTTTTATGGCTTTCAAGCGGTGATCTGTGCTGACTGACCTGTGTTTGCTTCACCCTGAGTTGACGTAGTGTTTGTTTGACGGAACAGAGAAGTTGTTAGGAAATAAATTATTCAACCTGACTCTCTGTCCTTCACACAGACACACACATCGTGTATACGGTGTCACCTGCGACCAGGCTCTAAAACCTGAGCCTCGTCGCTCACCTGAACAGGTCTTTTACGGCCAACCTTTTTTTTCATTTTTTTTTTGACACTGAATGTTGGAAATTTAGTTTTTTTTAAATCGCTTTTCAGGAATTGTATTTTAAGAATTTTTAGGGATGTTTTCAAGCACGTTAATGCTGTTTAAAAAATATTACGTCAAGTTTTTGGAGGAGTTTCGGTGAACAAAGCTCAGATATGTTTGCTGTATTATTTCTATTATTCATATCAAGGACATTTTAAGGTATATATACACACGCACACACAGGTATTTTCTTTGGTGCTGACGTCTCCGGACTGTGAACAGATCAGATTTCCTGTGCTCATAAAAACTGACGTGAATTAAAGAGCAGAATGTCTTTTCCCTGATGTGTCACGGGAAGTTGTGTGTTGCTTTTTGACTTCCTCATTAAGGTGCCTCTGTGTGAGTGTGTGTGTGATTCAGGCTGTTATCAGTGCCATGGACGCCTGCAGATGCTGATGGGAGGTGGGAAAAAGGGGGGGGGGGAGTCCAGCGTCTGAGGGAAAACACTGGTCACTCTGACGTCACTGGTCCATTAAAAAGGCTGGAAAAGGACAGTGATGCACCTCCGGCCTGTTTCTATGGTGACAGCCTCAGATAGTTCACGCTGATATGCCGTAATAAATCTGCATCTGTGAAGCGTCTGTCATTATAAGCAGTACTGCAGTACAAGGAGTAAAAAGACTTTGTACTGTGTGTTTTGTTCTGGAGAGTTAGTCAGAAAAAGGTCAAGGAAATCGTCAAAAAACACTCACATTCCCAGTGAAAAAAAACTTCCAAATCACCAAAGTTATACAACAAGTAGCTAACAAATGGTTAGCTCAATAAGATACGGCTAACGTTTAGCAGAATATATAGAAAAATGCTAATACTTGAAAGAGAAGAAAGAAATATAAGATAAAAAAACTTCACATCTTTGCCAATAAAAGTGGCTAAAAGTTAAAAACTATTCACATCCTTGCCAATAAAAGTGGCTAAAAGTTAAAAGCTAAATTATTACAAATACAAATGTAAAAACATATCGCTAACAGTTGATGAACGTGATGAATAAGAAGCTAAAAATGCTATCTTTGAAGAGCTAGTTAAAGCAGCTAAAGGTTAGCCATGAAGGTGGTAAAACAAGGTCATAAAACAGTGGTGCGTGTGACGTCACTGGGCCATTAAAGGGCTAGAAAAGGACAGTGATGCACCCCCGGCCGTTTCTATGGCGACAGCCAGACAGACAGTTTACACTGATATGCTGTAAGGCGCTGGCTGCCGACGCCGCAGCTGCGCAGCGTCTATCGTAATAACATATCCTTGAAGATTTGTGTTTTCATGGAGCTAAAAGGTTCACTTTGCTGCTGCCGTTACCGCTGCTGCCTCCAGGATGGAGACTTGAGTCCAACACAGCCACAGATTAGAGGAGATTATCTTTAATCCCGACTCTGGAGAGACGTCACAGATGTTTTCATCTCTTTGTCTGCTTCCTTCCCTCAGCAGTTCATTTACAGACAGCTGTAGGACTGCTGACAACACAGAGGCCAGCAACAGCAGCAGCAGCAGCAGCAGCAGCAGCAGCGATGACCACAGGGGCCACAGGTGATGAGGGTAAATCACATGAGGGACAATATTATTATTATTATTGTGAGATTACAATAACAATAACAAATAACTGGTATATTAATCAACATCCCCATAAACAGTATATTTGGTGATATGTATGTATTGATAACCCATAACCAGCTAAAACTTAGTAATAGCAAACTAGCAAAAAAAACAAACAGTACTAGTTAGCAAGAATAGCTTTTTACTTCGTGGGCTAAATCTTAGCCTAAGATTACTAGATGTTTGGGGGGGAAAATGCTGTATTTGAATGTATTTCTGCTCATTTAATCAAATATGAGATATTATAATAATATAAGATATTATTAAAAATATTATTAATTGCATTAAATGACTAGAATTCTCTCATGGGGAATAAAATTTTCGCCTCAAATGAAAAAAATCGTAACTAATGTTTGAAAATCCTGTATTATTTTACAAAGCCATTAGACTGAAATAAAGAAAAAAAACGCGGTTCAAATCATACAAACTTGCAAACTCAATACGGCATTTTACAAACATCAGTCAGCGGTTGTTCGTATCTACGAATGTTCGTAAGTCGGACGTTCGTATCTTGGGGAACCGCTGTATTTACTGTATATATAAAAATGTTCCAACAGCAGAGCTAACGTTACAGCTGCAGTGTTGAAGGGAAACATTTTGATATCATTAATCTCTGCATCTCAGAACCTGAACGGGTTTGGGCTCCACGTCAGCTGACGTCCAGACACCGGACAAACTCCTGCTGCATCACTGCTGCAGCAGCTCAGGCTCACTGACGTGACAGAGCTAACAGGAAACAGATGACCCTGCTCCAACACACACACACACACACACACACACACACACACACACAGTGGAATGAGGAGCAGTATTGGAACACCGTGGGCCGGGGTGGATGATGATAGAGTGGACAGGAGTGAAGAGGAGGCGGATTTGAAAATGAAACTCAGTGTTTTGTTTTCATTCCCAGCTGTTGGTGGAGTTTGAAGTGATAAGATCGCGTCCTGCTGCAGATGAGGGCGGCCGCGTCATTCATCCCCGGAGATGAAGCAGATTCCAAAGTTACAGACTACAACACAGCTGCAGCGTTTATAAAAAAAAAAAAAAAATTAAAATAAGGCTTAGGGGCCCCTAACTTTCTTTGATTTCATCAAAATACATTTTCGTGAGCTGCCACTAGGGTTAGAATTTTTTTTTTTTTTTTTGGGGGGGGGGATTTCTTTGAGTACTAGTCAGGATGACCGACCTCTGTGTCACCTGCTGCAGCTCACAACAAACATCTGACAGAACCAGGTGAACAAACTGTCAAACATAATTACTGTGTGTGTGTGTGTTGAGGGAAAACACAATGTTTATCTTTACCACCACTGCCCTGATTTAAATCATCTAACTCTGTGTTTCTGTCTAACCTGAAGAAAGACTTGAAGTCTCCCAAGTCAACAAAACTGTTGCAGAATATTTCTAGACCTAATATTTCTCAGGATTCACTCTGAAAAATGATTAGTCAACAAAAAGCAGATCACAAATGGCAACATTCTTCAGGGAAACCTCCCTAATAATTAGCCAAACAGGTTGAGTCGCAACTTAGAAACACAAAAATGTTAGCCAAAGAAGTGGCCAAATATTTGCTAAAACAAATGCAAGCAACTAGCCAAACGGGCAGTATGTTTCAAAAGCACCTAGAGCTTAGCCAAAACGTTTGGCCTCAATAGTAAGCTAATAGCTAACAACCAAAAGATAATACAATGTTCGCACAAGTTTAGTTCAATTAGCTATGTATGTCGCACACAAGTTATCGGAAAATGAGTTATTTCAATTCAATAAAAAAGCGGACAGCTAACAGTTAGCAACGCGGTCTCGACAACTGTCACATCTCAGATAAAAGTGGCCGTTCACAGCGCAGACACAAATCTCAGAATAAATTATTTGTTCCGTTTCTCTCTGATAATCTGTGGACACACAAAAAAAA